CTCACTATGTCCGTGCGGAACAATACCCCAACCCATAGTTCCGTGGGTGAATAATGTCAATCACCACATTATACTTGTTTCCACACATTTCACAATTTGGGATGAATTAAGTATCTATCTGATATCCATCTATCTGTCTATCTATCTGTCTGCCTGTCTGCCTACCTACCTACCTGTCTGCCTGGCTGCCTGCCTGCCTACCTACCTACCTACTAGTTGTTTTGTTTGGAAAGGTTTTTTCATTGTATTGCTCTTTACATGCACCTGCGGAGTACAGGACTTTACATTGTACTTACAATTTTACAATGTAACTTTGACCCGCTTGACTGAATACACAACAAACAATGAAGAAATAGTTTTATCTGGGCTGCTTCGCTGCCAGCTGCTCCCCCCGGGATCCGAAAGTGGCGTACAGTATAGCCTGTACTTCAACATCAACGAAAGTGTTCAATATATGCTGTATTGAACCAATAAACTAACACAAACTAACTATCACTAAAACATGATGATGATGATGATGATGGTGATAAAGAATGCATCTAATGTTCCGCTGTTCATTATAATTAAAAAAAAGAGCATTAAACAAACCATGCTCTTACTTTGAAATCATGCGGAAATGTCGTCATCAGCAGGCCATCACGTGGTTTCCGAAAATAACCGAGTGACACGAGTAGATTTTAGCGGAGAAAATATGTCTCAAAATTCCGTGTGAGTAAAAAGACGATCAAGCAGAAATGTGAGATCCACGAGCAGAGATTTGAGATCCGCAAGCGCATTTTTGTTCGACAAATACAAAATGGATTCACAAAGGCCTGATCGAAAGTTGTCAATGTTAAAGAGATATTAACAGATCTTTTTTTTATTTGTGAAAATATTTAGCGTATTTGCAGATCCGTTTTACACTTGCACATTTATTTGTGAGTTTGCAAATCTTTTAAATGCATTTGTGGATGGTGTTTTACATTTACAAATCACATATTTACACACAAATTATTTTTATGTTCACACAAATAATTATGAGACATATTTATGCCCATAGAACGGCCTATGCTCCATGCTAATGAACATTCATAAATGGCCTTTGAAGAGTCCAGTCTCCTCCCAGTCTCTTCCCCCACAACTCTATGAACTCGCCTTGCTCCCCGCTGTCCTCCATTTGACACATCTGCAAGAAAACATGCGAGGTCTCGGCCGCCCCTGCACACCGAGAAATAATTGTATTTAACTGGAAGAAAAAATTCACCCAGGGTAAGCATCGGGACTCAATCACTAAAATGTCAAATTGAAAAATCCCCTAACACCTACAGTATCAACTGTTATGGTTGGTTGCATATCATGTTGGAGGCATTAAGTCGACTGCAGAACACCAGTTTTCTGTTTGCTAGTACCTTATGTATTACAAGGGAGTGCCACAAATTCAATATAAACATTACTGTTGTGCTCATTTTCATTAATCTTGTGGTGTTGCTGCAGCCGGCACTACATCGTAAAGAGATTATGAGACATGTTATGCAATATGCAATACAGAGGTCTAAAGCGTATTGTAAGCTGATTTAGAACATAAAGGTCACTAGTCATGAGGTGTACTACTCCGCCTGTGAAAACAGATGTGTAATATATTCAGAGGCTCTGAAGCAAGATCTTCTCAGAAAATGTCATTAGATATCAGATTTACACATTAAGAAATAAAAAAGCCTCTGGATGTATTGTTTGGGAAGATACAGATATACATGTGTTTTTAAGGGCCGTTGTAGAATCTACTCTTTCCACAATTCCTGTTTGGAGTTTTTAGTACAACAAATCAGGCTACTTTATTATTTGCAAATCCATTCTATTTTTATGATTTTCTGTGTAATGACAAGCATCTACAGTATGCATTCCCAAACGGGATTACAAAACCATAAAAGACATACATCCTCCATTAATATATTCTCTTCAAGAAATAATATCTGTTAGTCGTCCGACTAGATTGAGACGCTAACAATTGAGATCAAGGTTATATATTTTTTTTAATGTGCTGAATTTGTTATGCTACTACAAAAATGCTTTAGAATTCAAACACATTGACCATAGGGACCAATAGAGTCCCAGTAGATTGAAACAAAACCTCACGATTGTTGTAGCAGGTGTTGTTATTTTGCATATTAGTTTGTTCACTTGCTGCATTTTTGTAAAAGAGGGGAAAGGAACGTTATGACTCCCAAAGCACTGCTACTACTGATTCTAATCTCTGACCTCACCAAGAACACATTTTCTTCAGAAAGTATCATTTTTTTCATGCCTGCCTTTTCCTTTGTAGATTAGTTTCTCATTCATTGCTTTAACGCACCAAAGCTCAAAAGTATGACTCCCTTAGGCACTCCATGTCTAAATATTCTTAATACAACGCTGTGCTCAGAAACAAAAAAGAAACCTCTAAATGGCAGAGAGTGTTATTACAGCAGCCTTTCTGGCCTCACACTTGAAATAAGTAGAATTTGATTATGCCTGTAATGTGACTGGTGTCTATACCACCAGTGCAGCTCTGCTTACGGCTCGATGGGGGAGTGCTAACATACCCACCCCAACGTCCTGACATGATGTGCACAGCCGTGGCGATTTATGGGGGAATTAAGAGGATTTCCAACTGATGCCTGTGTATGCATGGCGGTGGAATCTGCTCCGCTGAGCTGCCAGTAGCATATTCTTTACAGTCGCACCTTTCTGTCCCTGTAGTGGGATGACTAATTGCCGATCTGGTCAGCAACAGAGCATCCTATCAGCCGATCTGTCTGCGTGGAAATCAGAGCTGCGAGCTTGTCACCGGATAAAATGGAACATCATTTCAGTTTTTCCTTTTTTTGAAAATAGTTTTCTGCTCACATAACGAGGCATGTCACACACACACATACACCAGCGCTTACCCACTAACAAACACTTTACAATTTATAGATGTAATAACATGGATGTAATTGAAACAATGACTCTTGCATTGAAAGAGCAAAGCCGTCACAAGCACTGAATAGACTCCCACAGTAACCTTCACCCGGACAGGGGCAGGACAAT